CCCCAAAACCCCAAAACCCCAAAACCCCAAAACCCCAAAACCCCAAAACCCCTTTGTGTTATCTTCAAATTGAATTAAGTTCTGTTTGAGTTTGGTCAGCCATGATTTTGAAACCTACGACAGAATAGTTTTGTTGGTCCCGTACAGGTCGTGCATCCTCCCAGTGTTGATGATCTGCTTTGACTTGCCTACGTACACTGAGTCGAGTTCGTCTCTGAGGAACTTCTCGTTTTTCTCAAGCATCTTGCCCATCCTGACCAGGTGCTCGCTGCCTTTGCTGGACTTTGGGTGAGTCTGCTCTGTTCTTTTAGTGGAAGTTCCGTTGATTTTGAGTTCTCCGTAAAGGCCTCCTGCAAGCTCCAGCTTCAGGAACACAGTACTCACAAGAGTGTAGGTGTGCTTGCCAGTCACGTTCTCCTCGACTGTGAACGAGTGGAGACTGTGCCACTGACCATCTTTGACTCCTTTCTCGCTGCTAAGCTCGTTCAGAATCAAGTAGCAGGCTCCAAAGCCTTCTTCAGTCGTCTCGAAGAAGTAAGCATTGGATAAAGGATTTGTGAAATATAGGTTGGAGTACTCTTTGATCATGTCGTTGGCCTGCTCTTCCATGTCTCTGAGTAATCCACTCGGGTAGAAAGCCTCACTCATATCTTCTTCGTGAGGCTGAGGGAAATACTCGTTTGTGTACGGTGATCTCCAGCAGTCTCCATCTCTGTTGTATTCTCATTTAAGGAAATCTGCTCCGTTACTTGAGTCTTGGATCCGTTCCAGAGGTTGGTCGATACGCTGAATCATTTCATCCTGCTCGTCTTCGTTCTCGACTATTTCAGATAAAGCCAAAATGTTTTTAGGGATGTTGCTGGGTGGCAATTTCCTGTTTAAGTTCAAAGCATTGACCACTGCTGAGTCCTCCATATTATTTTTATTATCAGATTAGATTTGCAACTTTTATACCAACACAGGGGTTTTGGGGTTTTGGGGTTTTGGGGTTTTGGGGTTTTGGGGTTTTGGGG